CGCCGGCCCGCCCTGCTCAGCTTTGCCCGCACCGCTCGTGGCTCCTGTCCCCGCGCCTGCGGCAGCGCTGCGGGTGTCATCCAGGACCCGCCGTCCCTCTGACCGACTTGTCCTTCCCTCGCGTGGGTCACAGAAGCATCGTCCAAAGCAGCCGTGGCCGCAGGGCAGCCCCTTCCTCCCCTTCAAGGGGCTCAGGCTCAACACGGTCGCCGGAAAAGTGTCGGACACATCTTGTGCGGCCGGGCTCACGCAAGGCTAATGAGAGCCCAGGGCAAGAGGCCCCCGAGCGAGGAGAAAAAACAATGTTTTGTCACCGCTGGCATGGAGGACAATGTCCTGTTGTTCCTGCCCGCTGTTTGTCCCCGCGCGCAGACACACAAAGGGCCGGGGCAGCGGCTAGCACGCGCTCGGCTGCGGATGGGCGCACTGGCCGCTGGGCTCAGCGGCGCCCAGAGAGCCCGAGAGCTTTCGGAGGATGCAGCTGTACGGGATGGAGCCCGGCGTCCCGCTCGTTCTGTCAGTGATCCTGATCAGTAACGTACAGACCTGCGGAAATGCAACCCTCCATCGCAAGCGGCCTGTAGGCTCTGGGTTCGGTCGCAGTGAACCCTTGACCCTGGGCTATCAAGATAACTCCTATGAAGTTACTGTGTGTTACCTGCCTCGAGGCAACTCCTCGCTACCCCATCCTGACTGGCCTCGTGAGCCAGGGTAGCTCCTGCCTTACCCACATTGCTGCAGTTTTCATTCCCCCAGCTTCGGCCCTTTTGAGTTGATGCGGGAGAAACATATTTTCAGCCTTGTTGCCTCTCTAAGAAAATCACAATTCTGTACTTTAAATTTGCAGTTAACAGTTGCATGTTTACATACTCAAACAGCAAGGTAGGGTAAAAACAGCAGAGCCTCCATTTCCAAATCAAAAATTAGCTTTGAAAGCAGCACTTGCAGAGTACAGTAGAGGTGTCTCTACCATTAAAATATGAAGAATAGCGACAAAACTACCAAAACTTTGCAAGAACCTCCGAGCTGACCAGCAGAAATCTGCTGTACAGTGAGCTTGACTGCTCGGAGGTAGGAGCCTGATTGCAGTGATACCAGGACACCAAAAATGTGGTTTAAGTTGTAGTCCTTAAACTACCTCACACTATTAGGTAATCTGGCTGTACACAGGTCTTGTGGAGTCCTGAGCCTCATAGAAACCCGAAACCCGGCTTTTACATGAGACCTCTGCTAATCTAGGTGTACTGGTAATGTTAAACTAAGCGATTTGGGTACAGTCACAGCCATTTTGAAGCTTCTCCTTTTAGAGACTAAGCAGACATGAAGATTTAGGGAAAAAAAAAAAAAGGCTCTGGACATCAAAGTGGAAAAAACAGTCACAAGTCTAACAAAAAGCTGCTGCCACCTCCTCCCTTCCCCCCAAAATTACATGTTCTAATTAAATATTCTGCCTGGAAGATAAAAATAACCTCTGGAGAGATCAACTGGGCCTTGGCTAGGGCCTCCCCAACAGAAAGTGAGTATTGAAAGGAAATGAGAAGCAAGGAGGAGGTTGCCAAACACTGCTGATGTGAACACACAAAATTGTTGAATTATGCAATTATGGATTAAGAACAAACTCCAATTACGCTTAAAATTTTGCTGTGAGTCTGAGTTTTATTTCCACACAACATGGAAAGGCCTCGGCCGCTCGAGGCAGGCTCCCTGTGCCCCCCTCTGCCCCCTCCGCATCTCCTCGCTGGGCCGCGGC